TGCGCTTTGTCTGTCTATCGAAGCAGCAAATTCATATGAAATGCTGCTGCTGCTGTTGCTGCTGCTGCTGCTGCTGCTGCTGCTGCTGCTGGTGTGGGGTGGTGTATTTGTATTTATTTATAAATAAAAAAATAATTATTTTTAAATAAATAAAAAATTAAATAAAAAAAACAAAAATACAAAAGCAAACTGCAGCAACACATCCGAATGAACCCTCCTCTGGCGGCAGCTGTGTTGCTGCTGCCGCTGCTGCTGCTGCTGCTGCTGCTGCTGCTGCAGCAGCAGCAGCAGCAGCAGCAAAGACAATAGAGAGTGATAGTGTTTATGAATATGTGTATAAGCAATAAACTCAAATAAAGAGATAAAATAAAATTTATAAAATAAATAAAAAGACAAAGCAGCAGCAGCTGAGCAGCAGCACATACACCTCGATGCAGCGTGTATACGAGGCGCAGCAGCAGCAGCAGCAGCAGCTGCTGCTGCTGCTGCAGCAGCAGCAGCAAGTGCCGCTAATGAAGAAGTGCAGCAGGTGTTAAGAAAGGTAAGTTTATTTCTCCTTCTGCTGCAGCAGATTGCTGCTGAGCAGCAGCAACAGCAGCAACAGCAGCAGCAGCAGCAGCAGCAGCAGCCCCCGTTGCAGCGATCCTCGCCTCAAAAAGGAGGAGCAGCAGCAGCAGCGGGAGCTGCTGCTGCTGCTGCTGCTGCTGCTGCTGCTGCTGCTGCTTATGTAAGAACGCTGTCTCTCTCTCTTATTTTTATAAGGCTTACCGAAAGGCATACTGCAGCAGCAGCAAGTTGGCTGCTGCAGCAGCAGCAGCAAGAAGAGCAGCAGCAACAGGAACAGCAGCAGCGGGAGCAGCAACGGGAGCAGCAGCTGCTGCAGCAGGCGGTGGTGCGGTGTATATACACCTCAATCTTCTCTCTCTTCTTTTTTCCTTTTTATTTGTTGCTGCTGCTGTTGTTGTTCTTGCTGCTCCAGCTCCAACACAGCAGCGCCTGAAGCAGCAGCAGCAGCAG